ATATAATCATCAAATTCAATTAACAATACACAACGATAAGGATTTTCTTAAAATAAAAAATATAGATAAAAGTTCTAGAAAAAGTCAAAATATTTTCTTAATATTTGAAAAATTTTTAAAATACTTTAAAATTCAAAAATATTAATTTTTAAAAATAAAATATTTTCTTAAAAATTTACAAGTGTTTTTATTTTTATTTAAATGTAATTTTGTGAAAATCTGACTTTTTAAAAATATATAAAGCTCTAAAATGTTAGCTAAAAATAAATAAATTGTATACAGAACAATGATTTTTGACATTATTTCCTTTATCGATATAACCAAAAATATTATTCTTAATGATTATATGAGAAAGAGTGTTCATTTTAGTAGTGATAATGTTTAAATTATTTATTTTTTCTGAGACTTTTTTATGCTTTTTTGAAAAAAATTTCAAACTTGCATTTTAAAAAACTTTTAAAATTTTAAGAAAATATTTTGATTTGTATTAAATTCAATTTTGGAAATTTTCTGTGATTATTTTAATTTATGTTTATTATCGTTATGTATTGTTCATTGTATTTGTTAGTTAAATAAAAAACATTGTCACCTACTATCATAGGTTATCAGGTCACAATTTTTACTTGATGAGAAAATAAGTCAAGTTGAAAGTTTTTATGATAGAAAACCTAAATTAAATATTTAATATGTTAGTTAAATAAATTTGAGGTTTAAAGTGCTACTAAATATCACTTTAAAGGTTTTTAATGTGACTAGATCTTTGGATCGTGCTACGCGTGGCTAGTGTGTTTAAACAAAATATCCAACTATATTATTTATATATATAATATATTGTATAATTAAACCTATAATTAAAGCAGAAGAAATAGAATGTTAAATTAAATAGAAAAAGATAACAATTGACAAAATCATTGTACTTAAAGCAAGTAGGAGTTTCATTTTTTTTTTTTTAACACAAATTTTCATTAACTTCAACCATAAAATTAGATGGGGATTATAATACCCTCAACCATACATAGAGCTTCTTTAGCTAGGGAATCAGCCACAAGATTTTTACTCCTAGGAATCTAAGAGAAATAAATAGACTCAAAGTGTGAAGCACACAACAACATAATATCCGACAGAATGCCATGTAATTCCGACAGGGGTTCATTTCGAGTGATGGCCTTGACAAGTTGTGCCGAATCAGACACAAAAAGCAAGGAGTCAAGCCCCATATCCCTGCAGGGCATTAGAGCTTCTCTTAATGCAAGTCCTTCAGCCACCAAAGGGGACGACACATGCCTCAGTGTCTTCTTTCCACAGGTCAAAACTCCATTAATTTGCAACGTCATCCAAGTCCCGCTTTTCTATCTTCTAGGCACCACGCTGCATCAGTTCTTATCACTCCTGATCGGTTTGGGAGATTCATGTCAGTCCTTGAAGCCAATTGAGAAGACACCTTCTCAACATGTTGGTTTTGTTCCCATTCTTTAACAGCCACGATAGCTGTGGATAGGGTTTCTGCCGGTGCTGTAGAGCATTCCTGAAACACAAATTTGTTACATTCTTTCCAAATAGTCTAGAGGATCCAGGGAAACAAATGTCCCGATGCCAGTCCTGTTGGAGGTAAGCATTTCCTGTTGCAAAGCATTAGCCAGTTTTCTCCCAAATTTATCATTCTTCTGGAATCAAAGCTCAAAACAAAGGTAGCTAATTGCAAAACTTTTTGGGCATAAGAGCAATGAAGAGGAGATGAATAATAGATTACGGTTCTCCACAACGTTTGCATCTTGGGTCAACGTCAATGTGTCTTTCCACTAGGCGAAATCCCACTGGTAAAGCATTTTTCAGTGTTTTCCAAGCAAACATCTTAACCTTAGGTGCAACATTTAGGTTCCAGACCTTCTTGTGCCATTGACTCCCATCTAGGATCTGTGTCTCACTATCGTTGTCCATAAGTGTGATCCTAAAGTAGTAGCCTGATTTAGTAGTATACTCTCCAGACTTTGTTCCCAACCACACTAGCTTATCAGGAGCTTTGTTTAAGCTTGGTTTGATGGATAAGATCTGTTATTCATACTGAGGAAGGATTAATCTGATTTTTGATACGTCCCAGTCTCCATTCTCTTCCACTAAGAGATCAGCCACTGTAAGTGTTGCAAAAGCCTCTGGAGCTGGCCCAAAGGGGCGCCTTTGTTTTGAGAGATCCAACCAGGGATCCGACCAAATGTTAATCGACTCACCGCTGCCCACAACCCAGCCTAAATTTTGCGTAAGTAGATCTCTACCTACTAGGACACTGTTCCATCCATGAGACGCCCCAGAGCTCTTGGGACAGAGGAGGATATTTCCACCCGGGAAGTACTTTCCCCGGAGAATTTTTCCCAGCAGGCACTCGGGATTATTAGACAGTCTCCAGCTAAGCTTTGCCAGCGCAGCTTCATTAAATTGTCTGAAGTCTCGGAAGCCCAAACCACCGAGGGCCTTAGGCTTAGAGAGTTCAGAGTAGGCGATCCAAGCCATCTTTTTCTTCCCTGTATTATCATCTCACTAGTACCTGGTGACTGCAGATTGTATGGCTTTACAAAGTGAGATAGGAAGCTGAAAGCATGTCATGGCGTGGGAGGGGATGGCTGACAAGACACTTTGTAGCATTACCGCTTTCCCAGCCGAGGAGATGAATCGTGTTGACCACGAGCAGGCCTTTTGCTTGATTATGTCGATAATGGACGCAAATATGTCTCGTTTTCTTCTTCCAAAGTGTTCCGGTAGACCTAACTACTTCCCCACTCCACCTTCATTTTGGATATTCAGGGTGGTCTTTACTATGTTTTTCAGGCTTGTGGGCGTCTTTCGGGAGAATGTAATAGCTGATTTATCGAAATTTATCGCTTGTCCCGACGCCTCTCCATAACGGCGAATAATATTCTTTAAAGTGCCTACCGCTTCTTTTGATGCTCTTACGAAAAACATCGTATCATCAGCAAACAACAGATGATTTACTCGGGGACATCCCCTTGCCACACGGACGCCATTTAGGCTGCCATCTTCTTGTGCTCTATTACAAAGACCCGAGAGAACTACACTGCACAAGATGAATATGTACGGTGAGAGAGGGTCACCTTGACGAATACCTCTACTCTGTGAAACCATTCCTCTAGGCGAGCCGTTGATGAGGAACGAGTATGTAACAGTCGTGATGCATTGCAAAACCCATATTATCCATCAGGGATGGAAACCGAGTTGCTGCAGCACAAGGGAGATGAAGTCCCATTCAAGCCTATCGTATGATTTTCTCATATCCGTCTTCACTGCCATAGAGCATCGTTTCTCAGCTTTAGACGTTTTGAGATAATGTAGTACTTCATGAGTGATAAGAAAGTTATCAGATATCGCTCTTCCGGGTACAAATGCCGATTGGTTTTCTGAAATGAGCCCGGAGAGGATAGGATGGAGTCTCTTGGTGAGGATTTTTGATAAGATCTTATAGTAAACGTTGCAGAGAGCAATGGGCCGGTAATTCCCCACTTTTTTGGATTTTTTATGTTCGGTATGAGTCGGATATGAGTGGCATTTATTCCCTCTGGTAGCCTGTCCGATTCGAACATGCTCTGGACTTCTTTGAAAATATCCGGTCCGATCTCCTGCCAGTGAGTCTGAAAAAATCCTGCAGAAAAGCCGTCTGGTCCCGACGCCTTATCAGCGTGAATGGAGAATAAAGCCTCACGGATTTCTAGATCAGAAGGGACCGAAATCAGCATGGTATTCTCTGCCGCAGTGACTTATCGGATGGAGAGCTCTTCTTATCGTTTCTGCTTTGTCACTTTGGGATGTCGAGGAGGTGAACATTCCTTGGAAATAACTGACAGTGACTTTCACAATATCTTCTTCTTTGTAGTGTACCTTGCCCTCTGCGTCCTCTAATACCGAAAAACCATTTGCTCTTTTACGGTTTCTCGCAGTAGCATGGAAAAAACCTTTGTTCCTATCACCAAGTTTTAGCCAAAGAACCCTGCTACGCTGCTTCCAATATGCTTCTTATTCAAGGTAAGCACTATTGAGTTGAGCCGAGATGTCCTGATTCAGGTTTGTATCATTGATAGGCGACGTAAGGGCAGATTCCAGCTCAGCTTTCTTTTGTTCAATTACAAGTCTGCTGTTACGGTGTTGGGCTTTGTTCCATTCAGAGATGGAAACTCTTGCTTGGGAAATTTTTTTTCTTGATTGTACTTGCTCTAGTATTTTTCCAAGCCTCAATAACTAATCCTTTCACCTCTGTATTTTCATTTAAGCGACTGTCGTATCTGAATAATCCCTTACGACGTTTGGAGTCTGGTTCCAGGAAGGAGATCAAGGGTTTATGGTCGGATCCTTCGTAATCAAGATATTGCCATCTTGCTGTCGGATAAGTTTCTGCCCAGAGACTGTTTACCACAGCACGATCAAGTCGACACCTCACAAGATGCGTCCCTCTCTGACCTCTCCAAGACAGTGGATCCCCTGAATGTCTTAGGTCGAAGAGATCTCCCTTGGAAAAAAAAGGTACGAAGATCTGAAAAAGAGCCTTCTGATCTTGCTGGTCCTCCCACCTTTCCTCTTCATTTAATAGGTCGTTAAAATCACCTCTGACAAACCAGGGGGAATCACGAGCTGAGGCAAGGTGGACCATATGGCTCCATTGGAGCTGTCTTTGCTTTTTATCACAATCTCCATAGATGAAGGAGGCAAAGAAGGATTTCCCTTCATATTCAATAAAGGTATAGATAAGGTTT